GCCAAGGAAACAGTTGGTTTCCTGTGCTGTGTTGGAATTAGATGATCTTCGAGGTCCCTTCCAACCCAGGCTGTTCTATGATCCCTATGGCCCACTCTACCTCCAGGTTTAGCCTCTTTAATGAGCTCTTGTGCATCAGTGAGGACCAGGTCCAGAAATACTTCACCTCCTGCTGGTCTATCTAATATCTGGACCAGGAAGTTATGCTGAGTGCACTCTAGGAGTCTTCTGGATTGCTTACAACCTGCTGCCTTGTTTTCCCAGCAGGCATCCAGGTAGCAGTTGAGATCCCCCAACTGGATGAGATACTGTGAACACAATGCTTCTTGTAGATGACGTGAGAAGGCCTCATCAAGAGGCTTCCCTTGATCAGGAGCGTGTAGAAACACCAACCTTCAGATGCCCTTTATTGTTCTGGTCTTAAATTTTAACCCCACAAGCTCTCAACTTGTCCGTGGTTGTTTTTCAGAGGCAGTTCTTTGCATCTATCCATTTCTTAACATAGAGGACAACTCCTTCATCCCTCCTTCCCTGCTTATCTCTTCCAAAAAGCTTGTAGCCCTCAATTTTAGTGTTCCACTTGGGTGATTTGTCTCACCACATTTCTGTGATAGCTGTTAAGCCATGGTTTTCTAATTGCACCATGGCTTCCATCCTACTTATTTCATGCTGTGAGCATTGGTGTGGCCTTCAGCTTCTTCTCAGATTCCTCTGAGACAAATCTAAGGGGTTGATTATTAGCTCACCCACGTCACAGGTTGGACATGCCTGATCTATACTTTCTTTCTTTTGGTCCTTTTATGCAAGGTCTACGTGTGGAAATAACCTCTTCAAGGCTTGTAGAATTCTGTCTAGTGTGTTTCTGAGAAGTGGCTTTAATAACAGGTAATGGTACTTGTGCAGATGAAGCCACTGCACTTGTGAAGAGTCTTCTGTTCCGAGAAGCCCTAAGAAAATCTTCTATTTTAATACATGACTTTAATACTCTCTCTGAGGAGATTGTCAGTGAAGGGCACACAGGGTGGATTCAGCACACAGACACATCAGCACCACAGGATCCTACAGGTACTTCAGCTAGCTCATCAAGAAAAGTGCCCATCTGTGGATGTGAATCTTGAAAATTTCCTTCTTGCCTCTTCAGCTGGCAAAAGTACAACTGTGGATCAAATAAAGTAGAAGCTCTGGAATCTGGTCTGCTGATGCCTCTGTTCACTGCAATCATCTCCCTTCTGCTGTATCTGCCATACATACGTGCCAGAAATGTTAATAAAACTGAACTATTAATTTGATCTTGCTTATTGGACTGGATAGAGCAAGTTCATCTATCTTGTCAAAGAAAATAATTGAAGGCCTCATCCAAGAGACCTATTAAATAATAAACAAAGCTGCTGTTCAGATTCTCCCACCCATTTACTCAGGTGCTTGGCATCTTTTCTCATAAAAAGCTATTTTTTTGTCACCTTGGCTACACCTGTTTTAGTGCCAGTGAAAATCTTCAACAGAAGCTGAAGCAAGACCCTTGGTCCCCCGGTGTCTTACCCCCTAAAGTTTTGCTGGCCAGTTTACTTGTGGTGAAGATTGGAATATTAGTGGAAAAAATATGCAAGTTTTACTTGCAGAACTGATCTAGAGCACTGGCGGAAGTGCTCAACTTGCATACAATACTATTTTTTCTTGACATGTATTAACTTAAAAAGGACATTTTACAATTTGTAGTCTATCAGCAAATCTGGAACAGTGTAATCCATTTGGAAGGTTGTTTCTGTACCACTTCTCAATACAGAATGAAGCAAGGAAGACTATATTTTGTATGTAATCCTCTGAAAATGGTATAATGATAAATAACCTTTAGTACTTCCATCATCGTTTTTAAAGTACTGCACAAATACACTTCATTTGTGTGTTGTTAGTGCTTAATTTTGTAACAGTAAATACTGAAACCTTGTTAACTGTCTGCCACGTGGCAGACCTGGCTACCAGGTACAACTTTCTAGAGAGCTAGCAGCTAGAGATCCTACCGACCTCAAAGTCACATGGCCTGTTCTGGTCCTTGCTGCACTAAGGCAATAGTGGAGAAGGGTTTAAAATGTGCAGACAGAGGTTCCCTCTGAGCATGAGCAGCTTTTTTATCCTGTTTTCTGCATTGCTTTTCTGAGATTTATACAGGTGAGGACTTGCTGTGCAAAACATGAATTGCTGTGTGCTGGTGGTAATGCCTTAGAGAAGACATGTCAGTTCCAGGGTAGGTCAGTGAGGCAGGACTGGCTGCAATCACCCAGTGGCTTTCTTCCCTTTTTGCTGGAGAGCTGCTGAGATGAAACAGTGATCCACTTGATCCTAAATATCACTGTTTTGTAACTCCACTGCTGCACAACTTGATGCCTTTCATCACAAAGCCTGATGCTTCTGAACACAGCCACATCTCTGCTTCACAGTGGTTAGCTCAGTCATGTTCTCTGACGTGTGTTTAGCAAAGCAGTTCTGTGAGAAAGACCAGCTGAGTTACCAGGGCTGGTCTCATCAGGCTAACTGTGTTTGGACTACATGGGTAATGTGGATATAACTCCAGCAAAACAGGAAAAGATGCTCCTTAAAGGGCTTTTGTTGCTGAAGACTTAACTGCTGCTGTCACATTCATGACAGTGCTCCCTGCATCTTCTTGCATGTCTGGTTCACTGGGTACCATCAGGATTTCCCATGGGAAGGTGTATTTATGCAGTTCTGAAGTCACGGGCTGATGAGCCTATTCCATGTATATCTGACTATATAGCAGAAAGTATTTTCACTTTTGCTGTCGTCATGTGGTTGCTTTGGATCAATTGCTCTTGATAACAGTGAGAGACTTCTTTCATTTCCTAGAATCCTTTGCAGTCCGTCTTTGTTGTTCATAAATGCTTTGAGGCACTGGATAAGCCTGTGTTGATTCTTCTAATTGATATTTTCTTGCTGTTTCTTGTCCAGAAGCCTTTCCAAGGCATCCAAAAGAAGTCCAAGGCCTTCATGTCCGAACTGGGTAGCTGGTTAAAGACACTCTCAGAGACTCAGGACAGTTAAGAAGCTTTTCCTCAGCAATTCCAGATTGCAATTCATGAATGTACTCTTGTTGAGGACAGGGTACATTCATGTGTACTGTTTTTTCAGTCCACCAGATTTGGCAGGTGCAGCCATCTCACGTTTTATGGACAAATCCTTGTCTCTTAAAGGAGCTTTCCAGACTTCATTTAGATTCATGTCTTATATCATTTTCTCAGAAAGATCCATAACTTCTTTTTCTGATAAGTTCATGCAGCATTCAACAAGTGCCTGGGCAAGTGGAATTTCAGTTATGGTAATGTTGAATGTCAGTAGGATGCTGAATTAGAGATTCCTCATATCTCACTGCTGTTTTCCTGAAGCATCTGTTTCTGTCGTGCAGCTTAGGGCCTGTTCTGGAACTCATCTTCCAAGGAGCACCCACTCCATTCTGTGTTCATCCTGCTGGGGCCCAAAGAGGCTGTGGATGCTGCATCCCTGGAGGTCTTCAAGGCCAGGCTGGATGGGGCAGCATGGTCTAATATTAGATACAGAGGTTGGTGGCTCTACATGTGGCAGGGGGGTTGGAGCTTTGTGATCCCTTCCAACCCAAGCAATGCCATGGTTCTATGATCTGGGTAGATGGCTCAGCTAAAACTGTGACTCTGGTTTAATGAATTAGTTGAAGTTTTTGCAGCACATATGGTAGAAAGATGTTTTCTGCCAGTTTCTTTGTTATTGTTTAATATCTTCAAGCCATTTTCTTATGTGTTATTTTCATTTTATGAAATGGAACTTGCAGGCCTGGGGGGAGGGAGGAAGAAGCTATAGGAACGCATTTTATTTGGCATTGGTGGCACATTTATTAAGCTTTGAAAAGCGACAAATTTTTCCACATTGATGGAAGTACAGTGTTTCTCTGCTCTGTTGGCCAGAGCCAAAGTGCATGGTATTTGTGCACAAGCTCTGTAGAAATCTGTGGGTCTTTTGCTGGAGTGCGTGTAGGAGGCTGCAGAACTACTTTTAACAGATGTGTGCAGATAGATTGTTGTAGGTGAGAACTCTTGCTAGGATATGTTGTTGTCAGACCAAGAATAAGGCTTTTGTACAGCAATGCATTTGCCTGGCAGGTCTTCCTATCAGTTGGGATCCTAGCAGGGATGTTGGATAGGATTGTCCTGGGTCCACTGCACTGCGTGTCTGGGAGGTATACATATCCCCAGGGGGAATTACTTCTCTAGGAACGACAGAAAGTGTTCAGGCTGCGTGCAGTCTAAGTTTAGAGTCAAGATATTGATGTTTGTTAGCAGCTTTCTGAGGACACAGTGTTTAGCCTTGCAATTACGCCTATGCTTATGTTAGGGGTGGCATTAAGCAAAACAATCCGCGGCATAACAAAATTTAATGGACAGGGTCATCTTGATAAAGAAGCAAAGAAAGGGGATTTGACTTGTTTCCAGTTTTTCCATCTGGGCGTGCATTTTTAAAGTCATGAAACTGTGGGGATTAGAAGAGAGGACTCTCATTTACTGATTAGTTTGGCTATTTCAGGCCAAACTCAGGATTTGCATTGGATCCCTAAAAGTGATGTTTTTATTCAGACGCACATCGGGTAGAATGATGCTAAACCATTCTCCAGTGCTCAGTTTTTGAGACTCTTATTTCACAATTGGTGGCCTTAAGTTCAACTTAACTGCACGGCTGTGGGGAGGATCGATCTTTTCTAAGAAAACGTGGGGATTCGTTTGAAAAGCAGCACATCTAACTGACTCAGCAAATGTTGGTTTAAAAAAAAAAAAAAGTACACTTTGCAGTTATCTAATTTAGCCACGTTTCTGAATAGTAGAATTTCTTGTTAAACTAGTTGCTACTCTATAGTTACTTGAGATCGTTTTGGGAAAAAAAAAAAATAAAGTATTTTTCTAACACTTCTGAAATTTGTGTGGAACAGCTGTATCTCTTACTCATGCATACCACGTGCTACCTCTATGAAACACTGTGCAGAAAGTTTATAGAAAAATGAGGTCCCAGGTTAATGCAGTTACTTTTACACCGGGATGTACGCTCAGCTGAGGTTGCATAACATTGGCAGGTTACTGGCATGAATAGTTTCCAGCTCTACAGAAAACATCAACAGTGCTACTGGATAAAAATCTTCAACTACAGCCACTAGTTACTTTAAACTGTTAGTGCATGAAACAGGACCGAGGCACCACAAATAACTCTCTCAAGGCACTTCTTTGCCTTTAGGTTGTCACAGTAGCACAGACCCGCTGGGAAAGACCTCCATGGTTGGGAGCTACACTCCAGTTCTGCACTTGGGAAAAATAGGCCCGTTCAACTCCGCAAGTCTTCTCTTCCTCACTGAAAAAGAAGAGGAAGAGGAGTCAGCCATGGCAGTGGGAAGATGCGAGTGGCTTTGTCACTGTAAGAAGGACACTTTCTGCCAGGAAAGATAAATTACAGCACGAGCAGCAGGTATGGCCCTCCTTACAGAGGTTAAAGATAAGGAAAGCAGGCTGAGGCTGCTGTCTCATTCTTACGGTCAGAAACTACTGTCAAGCTTTCTTCCCTTATTCTTCAATTATAGCTCATGCAGCTATCTTTGCAATCTGACTTGGGCTAAAACATCTCTTCTGGCTATCTCCCAACTGGGAGATAGATATCTGGCTATATAATGGCTATCTCCCAACGGGAGATAGATGTCATAGTTCCTTTTTCTTCTAGTTTCTCCCAGTCAAATTAAATATACATACATATATACATGATTTTTATTATTATTATTTTTTTAACTAACAACTTGAGTTTTCAGGCCTTTGATCATGATTGAGTCAGTCAAAGCAGCTTCATATCTGTGTTTAGAGTTGTTTTACTCTGACAGCTCCATCCCTGACTTTTCAAGAAATGAATGTGAGGGAAAAACAAACCGAATAAAATAGTATAGACAGGATGCAGAAGTTAGCTCATGAGCATGGAACACCTTCACAGCTGGGTCAGAACTTAGAGAAGAGAAAATAGAGAACCAAGAGTGAACACCAGCAGCATCAGGTGATGGTAGGCAAGAGCACTGGAGTGGAGCAGAGACAGCTTTTGCTGACAGGGAGGAAAATAAAAGTTTTTCTATACTTATACGTCATCCAGGTGTAGGGTGTGAGAAGCTATTGCCAGAGACCATCACACCGATGAATGTGAGCTGCAAACAAGAACCAAGTCAGACACAAATGCAGATCTTAATGGTCAGAGGCAAAATGTACAACTGCTACATGGAAGGCAAAACTGCACATTCCTTCCCTTCCAAGCAGGAACAATTAAAATATTAGATCCAGATCTTCCAGCTGAATATTGTGCATTCGTGCTTATTAAAAGCCTTGCTCTTGAAGACAGGAAATGGCAAGCCTTTTCTGGAGCTCTCTAGTGAACAGAAATCCAGCAGAAAGCAGAATAAATACACAATGAGCTGTAATAATTAAGTATTCTGTGTGGTCAGGGAGGAATTGACATGGGTCTGTGCCTGGCCATGTTTCCTAAGAGCATGGTACTGCCTGAAGCAAGATTGCTTCGTTATTTAAAACAAAGTGAAAACCAACAAAATACACTGCATTTATCATCTGACAACCACTTAGCACTTGTTGTGCTTTCCAAGCTGAAGTTGACTCACAAAGGATCAGAAGCCCCCATACATGGTAAATCACATGCAGATAAAAATGCAGGGTGCTAAGTTTTCACCATTCCTTCACCACTGCTGTATTTACATCAGGTCTGTCCTCAGGTGGCCCCACCTCCTGAATCTCCCTAGCACTAGAGCAGGGCAGGCACTGGCTTTGTCCCTGGGCACTGCTCAAACTTCCAAGGAAGGGTTTCTCCTAGAATGCGAGCCAAACAACTGGTCTGCAGACTTCTGCTTGTCCCACCCTGTCATATCTATTACTTGCTCAGAAGGGTTTGGTGGTTATGTCTTTAAACACCTCACCCACCCACCTGGGCTGGCACTTCCAATCTTGACCTGCTGCACAGATATCCAGTGCTCTATGGCAGCCAGTAGCCAGGCAATGGCAACCTTCTGTCACATGCATTAGCTTAAGCAGCACTTTTCAGACTTACCCCTGTTTTGCTTCGCAAGCAGTTCCCATCACTTCATTGAGAGTATTAATAGAACTGAAAGCCACCTCTCCCTAGAAATACTTAGCTTTATGGAGGAGAATGGGTCAAAACCCACCGTGTTCCAAATGCAACTCTATTATCTAGTAAGTGTCATCTACTTGAAGTGGAAATGAAATTGGAGGAAGACAAGCAGTTGGCAGGAATCACAAGCACTGCTGTATCACAGACATCATTACCGAGGCACATTTACAGCTCTCGCTCCTTCCCAACAAGATCCATTGTTACGTCCAGAAGCACTCTTATCCATGATTTCAGGCTGCACAGCATCTCCAGGTTAAGAGCACATTCCATTGCCTTGCCAATAGCAACCATGAACGGGTCCTGTGGCATCTGGGAACTGGCAGGTGGAGGCTGTTCCTCCTTAAGGATCAAGGAATCATCAGGCTCCTGGGAAGGTGGTATCTGACTCAAATATACACCCAGCGGAGCCTTCAAGTGAGTGGCTGTCCTCCTCCCACAAGGGATTGCCCACAGTAGCTGCAGGGCTTGCAGCCAAGCCCACTCACCTAGGTCATTGTTATTCATCATGGCATTGGATGCTCGGAGCCGGGGACCTTGCTGAGTGAAATGGTAGCCAAACTTCAGCAGGGTGGTGTTTTTTTCCAGCATGTTCGCAATTTCCATTTCTACGTTGTTACCCAAAGGCTGGCTCTTTTGAAAACAGAAAACAGAAAAGCAAGTGAGGACAGACGTGCTTCCATTCCTGCTGCACAAATGCTGCGAGTTCCTCTTCACCACAGCCTTCAGCTGCCACCAGCTGGCCAGGGGATGGACCAGATAGTTCTGCTTCTCCCTTACTATTGCTAGTACCCCTACTAGGAGAGTTCACATATTTTATAGGAAACTTTGTGGATGCCCCGTCCATCCCTGGAGGTGTTCAAGGCCAGGTTGGATGGGGCCCTGGACAGCCTGGGCTGCTATGAAATGTGGAGGTTGGTGGCCCTGCACGTGGCAGGGAGGTTGGAGATTCATCATCTTTGAGGTCTTTTCCAACCCTGGCCATTCCATGAGAAACTTGCACACATTTTTGTCCACTCTGCCTGGAGACTCCCAGTCACTGTCACGTTGCTCAGGCTCAGAATGAGCAGTTATATCTGCTGTCTTACTCCTTCCCTTTTATAGACCTGTTGATCCATTTGGCATTTCTGACTTGGAGCTGCTGGACACCTGCTGGCCTGGTCTGGTACAACCAACTGGTCCAGCTCGTGTCCAGCAGACACATTCAGGTTCTGCCCAAAGACTGTATATGTTGAACAGACCTGCAGCTAAGAGGTACTTAGGGATCCCATCATTTTGATCTCACGGTCACCCAACCCAGAGCTCTCATGGCTCAGCAGCTCTATCTCCACCCCCTACATTTCTGCAGAAGACAAATTTGCCAAGACATCAACACCACTGTGCACTCCACAGCCCTCTTGATCTGTACCTGCTCTTTTCCTGCACTTCAGCAAACATTTCAGTTTTTCTGATCAACTGCCATTAATTAGGCTTCCAGCTAAACTAAATGCTCAGAGCCCAGCATGACGTTGGGCAGGTGCATCACTGCACTTCCAGGGCAGCATTGGGAATGCAGAAACCTGCTTTGTTAACTGCTGAAGGCAGCAGCAGCACAAATGAGGAGCTAAAACCTCCCCCAAAACAAACTGGCAGCAGCAGAAGGCGGTCACCCTCCCCTCTGAGCAACGACTCGACCTCCTGCTAGCAGGATGCTGTCACTTGACCAGAGCTTCTGCTCCTTCGTGCTTTACCTGGTTGTCGATTCGGAGCTCTATGAGGGATGTGTTACTCTGGAGTGCTTCAACAAGAGCCAGGATGCCAGACCCAGAGATAAAGTTTGACTCCACATTCAGGCTCTTCAGCGTGTTATTGACCTTCAGCATTTCTGCCAGTGCCTGCAGGCAGAAGCGGTTGGGAAGAGCTGGCACGACACAGGCAGGGTCAGAGTGCTCTGGAGCAGCTGGGGTTGGCTCCCCTCTTCCCTGGAGGATACCTGGAAGAGCTGGTATGCTCTGTGGTGTCACTGCCACCACAAGGGAGAGTTCTGTGAAAGACGAAGGGGATTCCCTCTAATCCTGAAGGGATTCTTGAACCTGAGCGTGCTGAAGGCCGCAGCAATGCCTTCTATGCAGAAATGTTCAGACCCACCCCAAAAAAGGACAGCCCCCACCTGTGACAGCTTCTTGTCCATCCCTTCAACCTGCCCTCCATGTGACACTACAACCAAACACCTTGTCCAAGAAGAAGCCCTGCTGCAGCTCTGCCACGAGCAGCCAGCACAGCGTGGCACCGTACTTACAAAAGCAACGGGATCGTTGCTCCTCGTTCCAACTATGCTCAACTTCTTCACAGAAGTGTTAGTCTTCAGTGCTTCAGCACAGGCTTTTAAAGTTGGTATGGGAATATTCTGTGGAAAGGAACGCAGAGGACCTGTGTCAGGTCATGAAAGGTATGCAGTACGTTTAAACTACATTCCATAATTCTCGCTGAGATCAACTCGCTAGAAGCAATTTAGGAAGGGATTGATGAGTGCTTTTATAAGCTCTCTTGCTATAATTGCATGGCCTAAGGAGTGTGGTAATGTCTCTATCCTGTTTCCCACCCTGCCTTAGTTTGAAGATGCAGTTTCTTCGCTGTTTAACTCTCCAGAAACTTAGATATACGTGAACTGAGACTCATGGAGACGTACATAGCTAGGATGCATAAGCCCATGCAGCACTGCTCCTATGCTTTCTAGATGAACGACACACTGACCAACATCCAGACTACATTCCAGAAACTTTCCAACTTCGGGGCCTGAACCAGAAAGATCTGAACTGATTTCCCTCTAGTGCAAACTACAATCGTTTCTGACTGCTACAAAGCAACATAAATGTGGCCATAAAACATGCTTCAGACTAACATTTGCCATGGTAGGTCCCAGAACAGAAAGGAAATCCATGCTGCTTATTCTCAATTCATCCACAATCAGCAGTTTTTGCTTTATTAGCATTTCAGGTACCCTTTTCAGAATTTTCACTGGTTTAAAATGTTAAGCTGTAGCTTCACGCGTTGGTTGGTTGGATCCCACCATTTGCTGTCATCCACAGTCAAAGCCATTTGCAGTCAGCAGCTTATCATCTCCTTCACCATCACTGCCCAGTTTTATAAACTGTCCCAGAACCATAGACCTAACACCAATATCATTTGTCTTCCTACCAGAACCCAAGGCTGGCATCCTCCCAGATATTCATGGTTACTAGCCTGAACTGAATAAGCAAAAGTAAAAACCTTTTCATTACAGAAAGGTGCACACTGCACACACAGATGCTCTCGACATGCACATTCCTGCCACTTGAATGCATCACGACTTCAGCAAACCCCATGGGCTGGGGGTAGTCAAGTCAGAATGTACATATATAATGTACATATACATTCTACCTGTATACATATGTGCCCAGGAGCCACACAAGGAGTGGTGCTGTGCCCTGGCCTGCTTTCTGCAAGAAGTAGAGTCCCAAAGAAGGGACAGGTGGGAGATGGACTGTGTTACACAGTTCTTACTTTCATGGCAAGCATCAAGATTACAAAACCATTTTCCTTCCACCACTTTGCCTTGCAGAAAATTGTCTCTACCTTACCTCTACCAAATGATGGAGGATACCTGGAAGAACTGGTATGCTCTGTGGTGTCAGATGACTAAACCATTACAAGAACCCAGGACGCTTGAAACCAGACAGGCTGGAGGCAGCTTTCTGCACCTGCCCCCAGTGCAGCTCAGCTCCTCATCATTATCCCACAGCAGACACCAATTCCCCCTGCCCATAAGGTGGGAAGCACTGGGGTTTCTCTTCTGGCCAAGTGCAGGATTATGGTATTGCCCCATGCAGCTTGGTCTTTGCCCTCTGCATACCAGATGTGTTGTGTTGTTAGAGAGAAGAGCAGGCAGGTGCACATACCATAATATTGTTAAGGTTGACCTCCTCAAGATCAGGGTCATTGTTCTGTATTCGTTTCAGGGTTTCTTCCACGTCCGTCGAGTTTGGCTCCTCATCAGGAACTGGTTTGTACTTTGTGGGCTTTATCACACCTGCAAGTGAAAAGCAAGAAAGGGAAAATGTAAGCCCCTAGGGTAATGGCATGTCCTCTTTAGGTGCATTTCTCTTCTTTGAAGAGCAACAGTGGAAGAGAGAAACACGACCTGAGCAGCAGACATGAGATGAAAGACTGCACAAGCATTTACTAGCCTTGCAGACACTCGTGTGCATCCAGGGATGCTGCCTGGCACTGTAGACAACCAGTTTGGGATGGTTGGTGTCTGCTGCCAAGTGCTCCTGGGGACCAGAGCCAGGTGACAGCAGGTGTGCCACCCATGTGGGCTGTGCACCCTCCTGGATGAGGCCAGGGCTGAGCAGTGCTGGTGGGAACAGAGCAAAGATGCAGCAGAGGCTGCACCAGCAATCAGACAGGGGGTGGCAACTGCATGGGCTTTAAGGTCCTTTCCAACCAAAGCCTATTCTAGGATACCTGATCCTACACACTCTTCAAACACCCATCTGAGAGCAGACCCATGTTAAGATGCACAAGGAGGTGGCAAAGAAGGGACAGCCACAGCACTGCAAAGTGCTCTGTCAGCCAATGCAGCACCCTTTTCCCAGCAGTTTGCTCTGTGAGACCACCACCACCATTCCTCTGAGCAGTTCCTGTCCTCCCCTACTGGCCACGATTTGGAAGGAAAGACTGAACGCGAAGAAATATTTTTTGCTTCCTCTTGCAAGTGATGTGCTTTACTTCTGACATGAAGAAACCATTCTGGCTGGAATGCCTTCCCAAGAGATACCTTTTCTGCTCAACATGGACTAACCTTCCAGCTGACCTCCCCAAGGGAGCTGCTGAACAGACTCTGGGAGGAAGCACTTCCACTTATGCGTCTCCCCTGGTTGGGGGCAACCACTCCACCCCCCCAGAAGAGCCAGAGATTCTCTGGCAAACTCCAGGAGATGGCAGACTGCAAAGGAAACGTCACCAGCCCAAGGCTGGACAGCTGTAGCAACTGTGCTCCAGCCAAAGAGAGGGCCTTTGCTCACACACAAGAGCCTGGCAGGGCTGTCAGGAGTCCAGTGAAAATAAAAACCCAACCCTCAGCCTAAAAATAATTCCCACTTCACCTCTGCATCCAAGCTGGCAGGCAAATGCTGCAGCCTGCAAGGCATGCTGGATCACTTACTGTTAAGTCCTTCTTTGTTCACGATGGTGCTGCTACCCAGTGCCTCGTAGTACTGCTGGTTACTCATCAAGGTGTGCATGCCAAGGATGGCTAGAGATAAAATACAAGGAGAACAAAATCTGTTGCAGGCTCCAAAGCCAGAAGGCTGACATGCCTGTGCAGCCCAAAACAGAGTCAGCAGCACAATGCATTTCTCTGTCCAGGCACAGAACAACGTATGGAGGAGGTGGGACCGAGCCCCCAGCTGTCACAGACACACAGCAGGGCTCAAATGCTCTCTTGTTCATGGCAGTGCAGCTTGACTCACAGATGGCGGTTCAGCTGAGGATGGCAACTTGGAGTGTTTGTTTTCTCTGCCAGGTGCCCAAATTTTCCAGGGCGCCCAACTGCTAGGAAAAAGCCATTTTATTTGCAGGCTCAGCACTTGCACGCATTGTTGGTCTGAAAACGCAGCCCCTCTACTCACCAGCACTGCGAGCATCGAGGCTGCAGGCAGGGAAAGGGTTGGCTATCACAGCCATGCACAGGCATGCAGGGCTGGAGTTTACACCAGCAGGTGACACGGCACTGTGGTGTGGCATTCACTGTGTCTTGCTCAAAGGCACTCAAACCAAAAGATATCCTCCCTCTTCTGCCTTCTCCAACACACCAAAGGCACAGGATCCCATCCAAGGCTTGTCAGGAGCCACCCACAAGGACTATCCCCCCACTGGGCTTGCCAAGGACAGGAGCCAATGCATCCTGGCTGACAATGAGCCCTGCAAGATAGGCAGGAGCTTTCTCACAGTCTTAGCAAACTTGGAAAAGCAGCACTGCCAATACTGAGCCTTCAGCACAGCTTGTATCATACCATTCCCACTGCCACTTCAAGCATCTTCTCCCCAGAAGTGCAGAAATGGGTGCCCCAAGCAGTATTTCTCTGTGAAAATAAATGCCTTGGAGGTCTGGCACTCAGAAAAACTGAGCAGGGACGTTAGGAGCACCGTGGAAAAGCAAAACAAAGAGAAGTAGGGCTCAGTCAGGGCATGCATATGGAAAGCCCCAGTGCAGAAATGACACCAGAGCACAGAAGATATCTCAGTGGTGGGGTTATCCCAGCTGCCTCACAGCAAAGCATGCAAAATTTTGTGAGGCTTGGTGGAGAGAAGGGAGAAACCAGCAGGCCAGGGATAAGCTCTGCTCCTCCCTGCTCAGCGTTGGTCTGTGCTCCTCATGAATCACATCGGGACGTGGGACTGAGAGTAACTTTAAATACACGTTTCCTTTTTAACAAAGAACTAAATCCTGTCAAAACTGGTGACATTTACACAATCAGCTAAGAGCTCAATAGCTGAGCTCCCATAAAAAAAGATCAGACAGCGGCAAAATAACTCAACCCCCAATTCACATGTAACTGTTTTACCAGCAATGTCACAGAGCTCCGCATCGGAGGCATTAGCAAGGGCTTCCTCCAGCTCCGGCTCCAGGGTCACACTTTCCAGAACAGGATCCATTGGCTTCTGCTTGGGGATCCAAGCTTTTCCTATAAATGCAAAGTGAGGTCACACTCAGCATAGCTGCAGCACCTGTCCCACAGCTGCAGGGCTGTGTTTTGCTGCTCCTGCCAGCGTGTGGGGTAAGAATTGCATGGTGTAAAAGGCAATGGGGACAGACAGACCTAGGAGAGAGTGACTATGGAGGAGCAGCAGAGAGGAAGCGTTAGGCACTGACTGAAGCCCTCATGCTGCTTGGGGGAAGAGGAGAATTGGGAGGGAGGTGGTTTTAGTTTGCTTTCGGATCTCGCTGCTCTCGTCTCTCAGCAGCAGGCAATAATTTACGTTTGGCCCGTGGCCGTAATTGGTGAGTGATCTCCCTGCTCTTATCTCAGTCCTTGAGCCTTTTTCCATCACATTTCCCTCCTCCCCCCACCCCTTGGTCCTGCTGAGGAAGGGGGGGGGGGTAAGAGAGCTTCCCATCAGGCTGCAGCTGGCACAGACCCACCTCAAGGTGCCAGAACACACCCTGCATGCACCTCCCCTGCTGGAGCTGGATGCTTTTAACAGCTGTGTCTGCAACAGCCGAGTGGCACTTTGTACAGGAGCATGACTCTGACGCACAGCACTCAGAAAGCACAGCCTGACCTGGAAACTTCACTTCTTTGAAGGCTGCGTCACCCATCAAACTGCCCTTCCACTGCCCCAAGGAGAAAAGAGGGCACTCTCCCTTTGCAGCCCTTGGGATTTGCCCTGACAGTGGGCATGTGGGACCCTTCCTGTGGTCAGAAGGCTCTGGGAGGGCATGAGCAGTGGGGCAGGGCCTTACCAGCCCTCCCTTCAGAGCTCAGCATCGCTGCACAGATAGCAAGTGCAAGGCCTGGCATGCCAGCCAGGGCTATTTTCATCTCCTCTCTGAAACCAGAGCCAGAGAACGGAGGGGAGAAACAAAGATCCTGTTTGCAGGGGTGTGCAAGCACAGAGGAGCTAAATTTAGCCCCAGGAAAGGAGCAGCTGCACGGAGGGCTCTCCTGTGGCGAGATGGGGGTTGCAATAAGCAGGGAAATGGCTCATCTCCCCTGCACCGTTGTCCCCACAGGGGGCAAAGCTGCAGGCTGTGCGCCCATGCATCCCAGGGTGGCAGCAAGGGCTGAGAGCATCCTGGCAGCTTGCAGACTGCACGTGCTATCAGGTCAGTTGTGCAGGCAAGCGGGCAAGCTCAGCTCTGCCAGCTCCTTTCACTGTAACCATCAGGGTTTAGTTTCAGGAAGCTTGCTGTCTTGGCCATGCTGTACCACGCAGGAAGCGGGGCCAGCAGAGCCAGTGCTGTGCCTGGCAATGGAGCAGCTCTGTGCTCTGCAGCACGACTAGCAGGGGTAGTGATTAGTGGGCAGCTTCAGGGGAGGCTCACCACGTGTTCACAGAATCGCAGCACGTCATTCGATCATAGGATGCCATTTCAGCCCATTCTGTAGGTTGAAAAGGACCTCAAAAATCACATCTAGTTTCAACCCCCTGCTACGTGCAGGGTCGCACCCTGAGCCAAGGAGGTGGTGCTGCTGCAGGGAGGGTGCGGGAAGCAGAGGCATGCAAGTTGTGGGAGACCAGAAAACAAGGCTGGGACTGTTGTGACATGATGAAGACCAGAAAGAAATCATCAGGATCATCGCATCTGAGCGGAGCTGTGCTGCTCCTCTGCACCAGGGTGCAAGGATGGAGCACGAGCAGCAGTGCTGGAAGGCAGAGCAGCACCTGCAGGAGGAGGGTCCTGCTGTGCATGCTCTGCAGGCTTCCCACCCATCCTGCCTTCACCACAACGCAGTGGATGACCATACCTCTCTTTTCACCAGTGAAAGGCACCAAGTCCTCTCTGTCCTTAATGTCTTTTGCCTGCTGCTCTAGGTGGGCCATGAGTTCTTCCCTTTTGAACGGGCCGGTTGGTGGTTTTTGCGTCTGATCCCTCTGCCGGAGCCCTGCTGGCAGCAATGCATTCTGTGCACAGAAGGGAGGAACACGGATTATCCCTGCAGGCCAGGTCCATCATACTCCTGCCCTTCTCTACTTCCCTCCTCGTGCCACATTTCTTCTTCTGCACCATTGCACGCTTTGCTTCTCCTCGCACTACAGGCTCTCTCCATCCTGCCCTGCTGACTCCCATCCCACTGAAGACTTCAGTATGGAATTTCAAACCCCAGCTCCACTGCAAGATCTCCATGCTGACAAGTGGATGCTCCTCTACAACAGCAACTACCACCTTTTCTCCAGGGGCTCCCTCCTCCTGCCCTCCTCCCACATGCTTACTGCCTTCTAAGCTCAGCGTGGCTTCTCTGTGCCTGCTCATGTGCCAGCACTCACATGGAGGTGGAGGCTGTGCATGCCCGTGAGGATCACGTCCTCATGTCCCATAAGGATCAGCTCAGGCAAACCCCCACATCTGTCACGCAGAGCAATGGAGCTGCAGCGCTCTCTTTAGCCACTTGTGACCCTTCACACAACTACAGGCAAGGCATGGCACAGATGGTCACACCAGAAAGGCTATGCACGCAGTTCCACCGTAGAATAAAGCCCCGAGAGCCTCAGCCCTCTTTCCAGGCTGCCTCCTCATTATTCAGCTGCATGGGCCACCATGGGAAGTTGCTTTGTGCCTGACACATAAGGCACGTAAGCACCTGCTTATATTTAAATATAGAACAGCCTTAATGCAATAAGTAAGACTGTTCCCAGATTTGGCACTAAGCACGTTCTTTAAAGCTTTGCCGGAGAGGAGTCGCCACTTATTTTTTAAGACATCCAAGGTGATTTTCAACAAGATGCTCAATTTTCTGCGCCCACCTACACAACTGACTTCAATCTAAACCCATTGCAGTGAAAATCCTGCACAGAACTAATAGGAAACAATTAGGTACATCCTGGTGCTGATCAGGCACAGCTTCTCAAGCTTTGTGCCGTGCCAGGTGAGCCTACCAGCACACATGCATAATCCTAAAAGACAGCCTGACTCCCTTTAATTATTCTTCCGTGTTGACATTTGCAATTAAAAATAGTGATGATGCAACCAGCGCTACCCATCGTTTCCCCCAGCAACACTACTGCACATCACAGCAGCAATTTCTCACTCGGCGGTGCCCAGCCTCATCACCTGGTGCTGCCATAAGCCAGCAGCCCGCCAGCTGGCTCTGCACATCCCCTGCCATGGGCACAGGACAGCTCTGCATCCAAAAGGCTTTAGCTGCTTGGCATTATGATGTCCATTGTGTGTATTCGTGCAGCTCTTGCCAAAGTCGAGAAGAGATAAAGCAAATGGCCCATCCTGCAGAACTTCAGGGTTTGCTTTTCTGCCCATGTGCAGGGACGTATCGACCACCTGGAGTCTGCTCTGAAAACAAAACCCAGCCCACAAAACTCAAATGCCCCCTCCAAGGTGACTGTGCAGCTTCTGCAGGTTTCCCATGTATCGAGGCAGATCTTCCCAAAATACAAGGGTGTCAGGACGGTGAGAAGCCCAAACAGCCAACGCCACGCTGCAAAAAGTGCTGCAAAGCAACAACCGTGCAACAACAGGCAAGTTTTCCAACAGTCTGGCCATTAATTGCTGAGCCAGAAATCGGTACAGTGCTGTCACACTGAAGTGTGCATGCTGGGAACAGGCAGGGGAACAGCACAAAACAAAGCCCCATACACAGTGGTGGCACAGCTGCTTCTGCTTTTCTAGGGCCAGCCTCCTCCATCCTTGCACCAAGTGCAGGCTCTGCAAAGGATTCGGCCGCAGAACAGGTCACTAGCACAGCTCATCTGCCCACAGCTAGATGGGATTTACCACTGAACAGGTCTCGTTTAAAAGCAACTTACATCAGGATCCAGCTCTTCCAGTTCATTCTCCAACTTCCTGAGCTCCTCCTCCGTCAGAGTTCCGAGGATCTTGTCCTCATCCAGGTCCCGGTATTTCTCTAGCTCCTTTCTGTAAGACATCGTAGAGCAGTCTGGCAAATCTCACTCCTGTGCTGAAGCAGGACCTGAAATGCAAACACAGAGCATAGCACTGCCTGCATGAAACATGACCCGGCAGCCCTGCTGGCGAGGGAGTGCTGGCTATCACAGAGTTGCACAAGATTTATGCTCTAAGCGTGGTTATCACCAGAGCACAGATTGCTCAGGAGCCCCCCGCCCATTTTCCACGCTGCCGGATGCACCTCGTCCTGTGGACTCACAGTCTGAGCCACCTCTGTGGGAACACAGCACAGCTGCCCCCCAACAACACGCACCCTTTGGGCAGTGGCAGTGCTCCCTCTGGAGCCCCCCGGCCACTTTCTGACTCAGACCTGCAGAAGATACTGAACTTATTTAAAGCAAGTTTTCCTTAGCAGGGCGGTTTCTCTACACAACTCCTAGGGCAGCTGTTGTTCCAGATAGGAGAATTATCTTTAGCTTGGCCACAAAAGGGCACATTAACACATACGTGGCTCGACGGCAAGCCCTTAAATTTAGAGCCGTCATCTGCTCGGATGCTCAGCCTCCCCTGGCACGGCTGCAGTCCCCACATTCCTGACACTCAGCACCTGGGGCTAGGGAATGATGCCTCACTCGTGGCTGTGCCAGCAGGCAGCTCATCTCCCAGCACAAACCCGGGGCAGCTCTCCCTGACCCACACCAGGGATTTATCATTACTGCATAGGAAACACAAACCAGACTCAACCAACACCTCTGCCGCTGCTCTTGTGAAGGACTGCAGCCACCCAAAAAGCTGGTTTTGCAGCCCACGGATAGCTGCTAAATGCTGCAGGTGTGCTGTCACGGGGATGCAGTGCAACGTACAAGCATCACACCTGGAGCCAGCATCCCTTCTTGGGCAGACCCGAGCAGGGTGCCTGCTGATCCTGCAGGGGACCATGCCCACACTGGCTGTCTGTACTGCTGCACAGCCAAGAGGTCCACAGAGGTCGTTCCCTTCAGTGAGCACCAGCAGAGCTGCATCTGTATTCTGCATCCAGTCTGATGCCCGCAGCGTAACAGAGGTCTTGGTGAGCTGAAGGGGTATAGAGCTGTCAGGATGAGCGTGGAGAAAAGCAGACTGTATGAGGAGAAGATGAGAGACCCAGACATTCTTCATCCTGGAGAGGGAAGGTGTTGTGGTTGGAACCCCAGCTCTGTTCCCCTTCCCCCTCCTCCTTGTGCCCTCCAGCCCCCTCACTGTCAGGACAGCAACAGCTTTGGGCCTGCTCAGAGGAGGATGATAGACAAGCAAGTTCCAGAGTTGCCTCGCCATCTAACATTTCCATAATTTGGTCTTAGAAGAATTCACAGGACCGTACAGCTGCTCAGGTTCCTCCTCCAAAAGCCAGGATGGGAACTGGGCTGCAAGATGATCCCCTCTTTTGACCAGAATAAAACAACTGTCTTCTACATCCACTTCATCTACCCGGTAGCAGCAAAGTCCTTGATGCTGTGATTCACATCTGAACTCAGATTCTGGTTCAGTGCAAGCTGGTTTAGCTGCCCTCCCTAGCAATACGCTGTTAAGCCACCACGAGCTCAGTCATGGTTGAAGGTCACCTTGGCTAAGCCACTTGCTTCTGCAGCAGTGTGTAACCCAGCCTCCAGGAGGATGTCACCCTATCTTGCTTTGCAGCTTTCTTATGTCGAGAAGCATGCGCGCAGCTTGCAGAGTAGCCAGGCGTCACAGAACTGTTTAGGTTTGGAAAAAACCTTCAAGATCATCAGGTTCAATCATCCCAGTTCTCAACAAAGCAGAGCACGCAGTGTCGCGGATGCCCCTGCTCAGTGAGCAGCGTCCTTCTTCATCCTGCTGATGGCAGAAACTCAGGCTTCTCCATAAAGATCTCCATTTCCTCCGGACTGACAAAACCTTTGTGGCCAGCAGCTGTTCACATGAGGCACAATGTGAAAGCTCAAGCTCCCCTCGGTAAGATATTTAAAAAACAGCATCTGGAAGGCATCATTTTAGATCTGCCAAAGCACACCTGTGCCTCCCAGCCCTTCTCTCTCCAGCATGCCCACTGCCTGCAAGCCACGCAGCTCACCTCTCATTAAGCAGCCTTCATTATCAGCACGCTGTTAATGCAACACAACGCAGTGGAGACCAGGCAACACGTGGTGGGGTCAAACTCCGCCAAAGTCCCATCGCGTCGCAGCCTCTGCGTGCATGTAAACACAGCGCACGTAAACACAGAGCGCACGTAAACACAGACTCCTTAGGGTCGGGCTGTCACGCATCCGCTGCCTGCTTCTTAATTGCTCGGGTTCTAACGCCCACGAAAAGCACCGGCTCACAAACAGCACCATCACCGCTCTGCGATTCCAAGCTTTCCTCGGGAAACTCAGCATCCTGCGAGCTGCACGCTCAGCTCCGACCCACGCTCCCGCTAACCCCGATGGCCGCAGCTGCGCACGCAGGACGGAGCGCGGCTTCTGCCCAGCTCTGACCGCCCTGGCCGCGCTCCGTGCGGAGCATCGCCGCACGCCGCGTCTCACCGCCCGCATTGCGGGCTCAGCCCGCGCACCGCCGCCCCAGGGAGACGCGGAGCAGCGCCGGTCCCCGCAGGGCGTCCGTCTGCGGGGGTTCCGGATTTATATCCGTGCACGGCAACGCCGTTCCCGGCCCCGCGAGCGATGGAGACCGCGGGTCGGGCTGCGAAAGGAACGGGACCCTCCGAGCCCTCCGGAGCGCACGTACCGCGGCACCGCCTGCGGAGCCGCCTTCGCCTCTCGCCCCGCTCCTCCCCGCTCATCTCCCACCTCCCGGCCCGGCCGTCATCCAGCTGCGATGCTGGGAGCTCCTCCTGCCCCGCCGGGCTCCGGCGCTGCGCATAGCGGATGGTCCATCAGGGCAGCGCGGAGCGCCGAAACGTAGAGAGCAGCATCCAGCGCGGTAAGGCGGGGAGGAGGATTTTTCACACCCACCTCCAGTCCGGAGGAGAGGACAGCCCCCGCTTCCGCGGATACATCCTACTCCGTTTTTAGAACCTGCAATGAAACTTGAATTCCAATGAATTTCTAGGCTCCGGTGGGATTCTCTACCATCTCACCTCAATTCATCTTTCTGCAGCTTAAGCCCTTCTGCGCCCTGTTTTTTCTACCTATAAAAGATTTTTCATCCCCAAAAACTTTTACAGGTTTTTTTCCTCAGCCTTCTCTCATGCAGGCTAACTCCAAGACCCTCTATTCAAGCCAGGATCCTCAAACGCGACTGCTTCTTGCCTTCAGGACTCTTTGTAAATCACCCTTACAGAGGCTTTTTGCTCATGGGTGAAGCCCCCAAATCATCATATGTAACAGCTGCCCACAGTTGCTTCCATCCTCCATACACCCGGCCGCCCACAATCACCACCCTGCCTCAGGGCACATCTCTGGGTGATAACCTAAAATACTCTTAAAAACCCTCGTTTTGGAGGAAGCAATAGGAATGTGCTGGTTTGAGCATCCTTAGAGCGTTCATAGTGCCCTGGAGTTACTGTGCTTGGCCAGAAGGAAAGAGGAAAGTGCCATTCCTCATCCCCACCACAGATTGGTTCCCATAGGAGAAGTAGTAAGAAGTGTAATAATTAAAGTCTCTGAGAGCAGGTTCCCAAAGCAGAAGGGTGACAGCAAGATTGAGTGCAAATGACAGATTAGGCTCCTGGCCAGTGCTCTTATCACAACTGAGTGTTAAGTGGTACAGCGTGCCAAGGAAAGGAGCAGCACCCTTTACCCAGCCCCACAGCTGAGAGGCAGTGCAACAGAGAGCAAAAAGTGGAGAGACACAAAACAACTTTGAGATCAATACTTTGAACAGCAACTATTGAACAAATACAAGAAATGAAGGCATTTTCTTCTCCCTGTCGTGCTCTGGTCAGACCTATTGTTATCAGAACACTTCAAGCCCTGTGTTTGGGTGCCAAAATGATTGTGCTTCAATCTGGGATGCAGAGCTACAGAATTCATCTGTGCAAAAGCAATGAGGCTAAGTGAATACGGTCCTTGCTTCTTAAGGCTGTAAGGCTGTTAGATTCCAGGGCAGCCAGCCACCAGCCACAACTGAGAATGGGGATAAGAAAAGAAGCTCAAAGGATCTTCATTCTCCTGAACATCTCCCAGGCTCTTTCCTTTTCTACAAATATAGCACTGCACGTTTCTGAGCCACAGTTCCCCCCTTCTGTCCATTCTGCCTTACCCACACAGGCAGCATGCTGGCAGCATCTAGGCAACAGGCTATGAAACATAGTAATGCCTGTATCACCCCCTAAGAACTTCCAAGGCCATTCAAGTTTAAAAGTAGACCAAAAAAAAAACTAAAAAAAAAAATAAAATACTGTGTTCAGAAGATTAGTAAGCACTGATCCGTGTGCTGGCAGGACACTACTCGCTCCAGTTTCCTGGGAGAAGCTCAAAACTTCTCAGAATCATTTCCCATTAAAAGTGAAAATAATCAGAAAGAAGGGGAAGGAATGCCCTGAATTGAAGGAAAGGGAGCAGGATTCAGAAAACTGGTACAACTCCTAATGAAAAAGTACTCCAGTTGGGCAATCCATACTTTTCTGTGAAACTTCCTTGCCCCTAGACTGGCATTTTCAACTATTCATCACCTGAGAAGTTAAGGAAGGGGGAAATCTCACCAATAAAGCCTGTCTTAGTCACAGGACTCAGAAATACACAGGGTGTCTTCCTTGTTTTCCAAGTGATAAAAATTCTACTAAAAAAAAAAAAGAGTACCCAGTAATGGCAAGAATTATGTTTTAATAGCTATGAGATGAGAAGCCCACTAAAATTAAGGAAAAAAAATCTCAAGATCAGTTCAGCATTGTTTTATTGATAAATAACTTTTTATTTAGTACTTCCACCCAAACATTCTAGTATTGCAGTAGCAAACAAAGTGCAAAACTTCCTAAAGTCAACTGAAGTCAACAGAAAGCAAACTTGTTAAGCAAATCTTTTTCCACAGAACACATTTTTGAAGTTTATCCCCTTATTCTCTTCAAGGCAATGTAAGAACAGTTAAATTCCTCTTTGAAACCTGTTACTTGTTCTATTGCTACAGAAACCGAGCTGCTACATTTCAGAAGTGGCAATTAATCTGCTTCTGAAAGCTCTGCAAGACTCTGAGACACAAAGTCATGAATCCATATGTCGGTGTCTGGAAGAGACGTGTCCACTAAGTAAGTGACTATTCTTCGATCCCAAGAATTAGTGCTCTCATTTATTGCCTGTATCTGTGCTACCAAGGGTTTCTTCTCTACGCGATTCCGAAATATTATTGATGCCTCTTCCGACCACTGCTGGCTTTTCACTCCTAGAACAAACAAAGCAAAACAGAACCTCATTTGTAGGCTATCCCAACACGAGCGATGAAGTTTATGAAGAAGCGGAGGGGGGGGTTAAAGACTTGAGAAAATTGATATTCAAGTAGTGAAGGCAGCTTAAATCCAAAAAACAAGCACAAGCTTACTCATCTCCCACACAATTATTACAGAGACTGTAACATTTCTTCTCCTCAGAGTCTAAAGCTGTAACTCACTGAGTATTTCCAAGAACAGCAGCTGCCACAGATGATCACGTCCTGTTACCTAGACAAAAAAGAAACTAAAGATCCTAACAAAAGAAAGCACTAATTGGTATTCTGCCTGAGTCTGCTGAAGCAACAGCCTTCATTTAGATTTTCTCCATCTTAAAGCAGCAACATTTGCTAACAAACCTTCAAATCCCAAACTAGTCCTGCAGACAGAACTGAAGGGAAATGCAACCTACGTGCCTCACAACTCCTGATTTTTTTTTTTTTTGAAGGGGGGAATCTGCATCTCACAAAGGCTGCTCTGCTTAGGGGAACAAGGCTGTAATCCAAACAGGTTTTTGCATACAGTTGTGATCCACCAAGGAGCGACTCCTGCAGAGCAGGAGCATTCAGCCTCCCCATGTCACTGCTGGTGCACAGCATCTAGACACAACAGGCTCCAAGCACTCTGCACGAACTTCCAAGCAGCAAGTTACGGGTATGAGAAACGAAACAACGAAGTGACAACACACTGCTTTTAGTTTATCAGCACATAACAGGACAGAACATCACAAGCACATGAACTCCTTACAAGCAATAGAAAAAAAAGAAAAAAAAAAAAAGAATAGGCCAGCTCAGCTAGCTGCCTGGGATGCTGTGAGGCAAGAACATCCAATGGCTTGGAGGCTCTCTTGGCTGGACCCTGTACTACTCCAGCACAAAGACAGAGCTAGAAGTTAGTTAGCTTCACTTCCACACTGACCTCCTACAACCCAGCCTAGTGGGAACACATCCAACCTCTTGGCTAGTTCAAAGCAAGCTTGAAGGTTGCACTGAAGGAGTGCAGATCCACAGAAGGCAAGCAGCAGAGCACAAACTTTGTGCTGCCCTGTCAGTTCGCAACCTTGTGAGCAATCCTGTCAGGTTCTTGGAGCAACCTGGTGTAACAGGAGGTGTCCCTGCCTATAACAGGGGGCTGGAACTAGGTGATCTTGAAGTTCCCTTCCAACCCAAAACATTCTGTGATTCTGTGATTTTGAGCAAGCATATTCTGTAATCCAAGCTTTGTTTAAATCGCGGTGAGCAAACATGGAAATCATCAAGTAAGAAGAGACATATGTCAGAAAGCAATGCAAAAATATAATTTAAAAAAATTGGAGAAATAAGGAAGAGAGTGACCAAATTTTAATTTATTTTATTACTACTCTCTCTATGCCCAATTTTATCAATTTCATTATTGTAAGTTTGATGGAGTCTG